CCCAGAACACTGCCACGCACCACTGAAGCACTTATATATCTTTTGAATGAGTGAGTGAGTGAATGAATGGAGTTCTTGCAAATGCCAATGGATGTAGGTAGTTTCAATGTGGGGCTCTAGAAAGATAATCTCAATGTGAGAAAATACGGGATTAGCTGATTAGTCGCAATGTACGAAAGGCACACTTGCCTAATCTTTGGAGGTTAGCACTTTTTCCTTGGGACTAAGGAACCAAGCTAATGAGAAAATTTCCCTCAAAAGCCAGGACAGACTATGGGTCACAGAGTCAATATCCCAACCTGCCTTTGAATGAGAAACACCTAAGTACTTTTGTCTTTATAACTGTCAAGAGCGCTACCTTCAACTCTGTGGCTTCCAGCCCCTATGGGTGGCACCCAGGAATTGCTACCTGGGACAGTCTGAGGTGGGTGGCTGGGGCTGGTGGTGATGACATAGAGGACTTTGGAGGACCGGGCAGCGCTGACGCTGAGGTTGGCCTGCTCTGTGATCACCTCGGCCACCGTCTGGTTGACAGCGGGCCTCTCCTGTGGCAGTTCTTCCTTGACAGCTGGAAGAAAAAAACAAATTAAGTGGGGAGAGGGCTATGGAGACAACAAAGAGCTGTGCAGGAGGAGAGCATGAGTGACCTCCTTCTCTGACTCCATTCTGTGTGCAATTCCCTCCATGGGTGGGTCCTACCAGTGCCAAAACAGCACCTGTCAGCCTCTCGCCCTTTAGGAGGCAGAAGGGTGAAGCTGTCAAGTTCACAGTTTGTGGCTAGTCTCATCTCAGACACCTGGGTGTGCTTTCCAGGTTCTCTGCCCCTGCACTTGGCAGCTATGGCTCCCTATGCCTGGAAGGTTCTCTTCTTTCCTACTGATCCAAACCCTGCCTGTTCCTCAAGACTGTCCCACCTGCAGAGGAGGCCTTTTCCCATGGTTCTCCTGGAGCACACACTACCGTAACTTTTCTTGAGGTTTGTTATCCAGGACAAAGACAAGGTTTCACACACCTTCTGTGTTTCTTTTGTCCTGGCAAAGAGATGTGCCCAGCCCACATATGTTCACATTACAGAGGCAGAGAGAGTGGCTCCACCTTGGCAGGGTTTGAAGAAAGATGGCAAGCCAGTCTTTTGGAATTAGCTAAGATGTTTAGAGGCAGGAGGATGGACCAGATGACCTTTTGAGAACCTTCCAACTGTCCCAATCTCAGTTGTTCCTTTTAGTTATTCTGTTTCTTTATTCTTTTAACCCTCCCGTGAAAACTGTCATTAGACTTACTAAAATAGCCAAATTGACAGGTTTTCGCCTCTTTTCTGTCCGTTGAAACATAAACGAGTTATGAAATGGGGGGGGGGTCTGCAAGTGGAGTCAGTAGTTCCTGAGGCCCAATCAGGAACTGCCCACATCTCAAGGGTGAGGAACAGAAGCCCAAGGCACGTGGGCCCTGAATAGCCCCCAAGGAGGCGAGGATATCTTACCTTCGTATAAAACAGCAAATCCCTGGGCCTGATTGATGCGATCAGAGAAGAAATACAAGATGACGAAGTCCAGAGAGACATTGAGGGACAGAGGTGGGCGGCTCCTCCCGTGGAAGCGGGCTAGGACACGGTGTGTGTAGCCGTCCAGAAGCTCCACCATGTCCGCCGAGTCCCTGATGTCAAATAGGGGGAAGCTGAAGTGGATGCGGGAGGCTCCCGGAACCCGGATGGTCCAGTAGCAGACCCTCCCTGTAGCATAGGTGTCGGGGAAGTCAGGGGAATAGACCACAGAAGACATGGCTGAGTAGTTCCCACCGCAGGCACCGACGAGAGCTGGAGGAGAGAAAAAGATACCACGCCCTCAGTCTGGGCCTCTGCCCCAGGCGTGCTTCCAACACCAAGGCACTAAGCTTCCTAATGAGCAGGATCCCATTTAGGACATTGTTTCTATCTATAAAACCAGACAGTCTTAGGTTTCAGGATCCAGTCACAAAACGAATCGCTGAGACTGGACAAATGATGTAGGGATGTTCCCCCCGCCTCCCCCAGAGACCTTAGAATTAGCACACAGCACAGTGGTGTGGCCTAGGTTGGGGCTGGGCTGGAGTCAGAGAGTCTGGATTTGGGACTGGCAGGGCCAAGTGATGGCAGGGGCGGCACTTTACTCGCGGGCCTCTTGTTTCTCTCAGTTTCAAGGCTGGAAAGAGCACCACCTGCTCCTGTATGACGGGAATGTGTGACGGCACATGAGACAAAGCACACAAACCACTCAGGCCTCTCTGCAGGGGGGCCACCCGATAAGGTAAAGTCGTCGAAAGAGAAGGGCTTTCCAGCTGCTCGTGTATCCCCGATCCCCTTGCAATGCTCCCTGAGGGGCCACATCTTCAAGCAGGGAAACTGCGGCACAATAAATGACTTTATGCAGTGAGGAGACATGCTAGATTCGGACCACTCTGTACCGAGCACATTTGACTTCTCTGGACTCCTGTTTTTGATAGGTTCTAGAAAGGGGATGCAGGGATTTCCTGTGTTACACTGTGAAATCTAAACAACCTCTTAGAACTGAAACTCCTTGGGAGGGAGTATAAGGCTAGGATTTAAAAAGCAGGCTTTGGGGGAGTTCTTCTTCCCTTTAGGAAGAAGAAAACAACAAGCAGGCCGGGTGCAGCGCCTCACGCCTGTAATCCCAGCACTTTGGGAGGCCGAGGTGGATGGATCACCTGAGGTCAGGAGTTTGAGACCAGCCTGACCAATATCGTGAAACCCTGTCTCTACTAAAAATACAAAAATAAGCTGAGCATGGTGGCGTGCGACTGTAGTTCCAGCTACTAGGGAGGCTGAGACAGGAGAATCGCTTGAACCCAGGAAGAGAAGGCTGAGTGAGCCAAGATCATGCCATTGCACTCCAGCCTGGGCAACAGAGCGAGACTCCATCTCAAAACAATATCAACAAGCGAATGCTGCTTCTAGCCTAACAATGAGAAAAAGTTTAAAACTCAGAAAGCTGAGGTCTCATGACAACCAGGGGAACTTAATTCTACAAAATCAAAGTCCCACCAAGGAGAGTCAGGCCACACAAATAGTTTAGTCTTTGAGAGAAGACAGAAGGAAGAGGTGACTGCCAGAGAAGTAACCAGAAAGCACTAAAATTTTAACAAACTCTTAAAGGCTGAGAGTGAGTGAGTGTCTCAGCTTTAGGGCAACTGGGAGTCCCAGACACAAGGGGCATTTTGCACTCACTTGGGAGCTTTTCTGCACAGACTCCACTCAATGCTCTCACAAGTGGCTTGGGTTGGGCAGCAAACCACAGTCCCCCTGGGTGGCATGAGTGTGCAGGAGGTGACAGGCTGCCACTGAGGGACAGGCATGAAATACTGCCCACTTCCTCCTCTTTGCACCTGCAGGAGGGGACTCTCCTCTCAAAGAAAGTAAAAGCCTTCAGCTGCTAGGAGAAGGGAAGCAAATCCTCTTACTCCTAGGGCCACTGAAAACGGGCAGAAGCAAAATCTGTTTGCCTCTGGGGGAGGGAGGGAGAAATTATCCTTCCTGTTAAAGTAACCAGGTGAAGATCCACTGCTTCTGGAGGAAGAGCAGAAGCAATAGCCATTGGTCCCTGGTTGCCTTGAGCCCCTACCCTTTATTTTTTTTGAGACGGAGTCTTGCTCTGTCGCCAGGCTGGAGTGCAGTGGCGTGATCTTGGCTCACTGCAGTCTCCACCTGCTGGGTTCACACGATTCCCCTGCCTCAGACTCTGGAGCACTCAGGACTACAGGTGCACATCACAACGCCCAGCTAGTTTTTTGTATTTTTAGAAGAGACAGGGTTTCACCATGTTGGACAGGATGGTCTTGATCTCCTGATCTCATGATCCGCCCACCTCAGCCTCCCAAAGTGCTGGGATTACAGGCATGTGCCACCACACCTGGCCCACCTTGAGCCCTCTTGAGCCCAAGATCCTGCAGCCAATGCAAAGTAGAGCTCTACTACTCCCAGAGGGAGGGCAGGAAATTCTCTTTTCCAAGATCTACCACAGACACAAGGCAGTGCTTGGCTGCCAGGGAGAGAAGGGAATGGGAATGCTAACAAGACCTCAGGCTGGTGGCCTTTTCACATCCTGTCTAAGAGTGAGGACAGGGCAGGACAACCAAGAACTAGCCCCATGACCTCACCATGAGTACAGCCAGGTAACAAGCAGCAATAGCCTACCAATGAGGGAGGGAAAGAGTGTGGAGAAAGAGCTCCTCTTTGGCACAGGCATGTAAGAACACCTCAAAGCTGAGGATGGAACAGCACTACTGAGGAAAACACATGGGTACCCTAGGCTTCACACTAAGCACAAGCTGATAGCAGGAGGAATTTAAAGCCTGATGTGCATTGAGAGTAGTGACAGAAACAACCCAGCTCAACTTCTGACAGCTTGGCTCAGTCCCTACACTACGCAGATCTGCCCAAGTGTAAACACTATCTCAGCCTCTAGTGTTCTTCTATACATAGTGTATGACATTCAATAAAAAAATTACAACACACATATAAAAGCAAGGGTGGGAGGGGGGAAAGACTTATTGTTAAGCGATAAAACAATCTACAGAACTAGACTCAATAATGACCCAGATGCTAGAATTATCAGACAGAGATTACACGATGAAGATAGTAAAGAATCTACTGGAGGCGAGGCATGTGGCTAATGCCTGTAATCCCAACACTTTGAGAGGCCAAGGCAGGAGGATCTCTTGAGGCTAGGAGTTCAAAACCAGCCTGAGTGACACTGTGAGAACCTATCTCTACAAAAATTTTTAAATTAGCCATGCATGGTGGTGTGTGCCTATAGTCCCAGCTACTCAGGATGCTGAAGGAGGAAGATCACTTGAGCCCAGGAGGTCAAGGCTGCAGACAGCTTTGATTGCACCATTGTACTCCAGCCTGGGCGACAGACTAAGACCTTGTCTCTTTTTAAAAAAAAAAAAAAAAAAAAAAGACTCTACTGGAAATCAAATAATATTGGTGATGAATTCTTTTTTTTTAAATTATAGAATGCTTCATGAATTTGCATGTCATCCTTGCATAGGGGCCATACTAATCTCCTCTGTTTTGTTCCAATTTTAGTATATGTGCAGCTGAAACAACCACTGAAGAATTCCTTTGGTAGGCTTATCAGCAGACTAGACATAGCTGAGGAAAGAATCAATAAACTTGACAGGTCAATAGAATTTATCCCCAAATGAAACAAAGGAGAAAACAAAATGAAACAAAGAGAACAGAGCACCCAACAGCTATAGGACAACATCAAATGGTCTAACATATGTGTAACTGGTGTGCCAAAAGAAGAAAATAAGAATGGAGCAGAAGAAATATTTGAAGAAATAATGGTGAAAAATGTTCCAAAATCAATACAAGGTGACAAACTACAGACCCAAGAATCTCAGCAAACCCAAGCANAAAAAAAAAAAAAAAAAAAAAAAAAAAAAAAAAAAAAAAAAAAAAAAAAAAAGAAGAGGAAGAAGAAGAAGAAAGAAACCAAGTAACAAACAAAGAAGACACACCTGACACATCATAGTTAAATGCTGAAAACCAGTCTGGGCATGGTGGCTCATGCCTGTAATCCCAGCACTTTGGGAGGCCAAGGCAAGAAGATTGCTTGAGCCCAGGAGTTCAAGACCAGTTTAGGTTACATAGAGAGACCTTGTCTCTACACAAAATTCAAAACGTAGCTGGGTATGGTGGCACATGCCTGTAGTCCCAGCTGCTCAGGAGGCTAAGGCAGGAGGATTGCTTGAGCCCAGGATGTCAAGGCTGCAGTGGGCCATGATTGCACTACCGCACTCTAGCCTGGGTGACAGAACAAGACCCTGTCTCAAAACAAAACAAAACAAAAAACAAAAAAAGTTGAAAACCAAAAACAAAGATAAAATCTTGAAGGCAGGCAGCGAAGGGGAAAATATTACATACAGGGGAATAAACATAGAGCAGACATCTCTAGAAACTATACAGCTCACAAGAATATGGAGCAACATCTTTGAAGTACTGAAGGAAAAAAGCTGTCAGCACAGAAATCAATATCCAGCAAAAATTACTATAAAAAATGAAGGTGAAATAAAGTTTTTAAAAACAAAGGCTGAATGAAGCCATTGACAGTCAACCCATAGTGGAGAAACTGCCAAAGGAATTTCTTTAGGGCAAAGGAATATACCAGATGGCAAATACAAATATGAAAAGATATTCAATATCATTGGTAATTAGATAAATGCAAATTAAAACCACAATGAGTTACCACTACATACCTACTAGAATGGATCACATTTAAAAACAGATCGCACAAAAGTATCTGTAGCTGGAGAGAATGTGGAGCAAATGAAAATCTTACTATTGTTGGTGAGAATGCAAAATGGCACATCCACTTTGGAAAATAGTTGGCATCGACTTATAATGCTAAATATGCACTGAGCACATGACCCAGCAATCCCACTCCTAGGTATGTAAGAGAAATGACAACATATGTCCACATAAGCACCTGTACTTGGATGTTTATAGCAGCTTTATCATAGATGGACCAATGTTTATCAATTGCTGAATGGGTGAACAAATTTCCATACATCTGTACAAAGGAATGTTTCTTAGCAATAGAAAGGAAAAAACTACTGATACAGGCAACAACGTAGGTGAATCATAAAGCATTATTCTAAGGGCCAGAAGCCAGAAGCCAGATACAAATGGTTAAATGCTATGATTCCATTTATATGATATTCTGCAAAATACAAAATTATATGAACAGAATACAGATCAGTTGTTGCTCAGGAGTTGGGTTGGGGAAGGGAACTGAACACAAAGGAGCAGAGGGAACTTCTGAGGTGATAAAAATGACCTAATCTCGATTGCTTAGATATTTGTCAAATCCCACTGAACTATACAACTGAAGGTGATTTTACTGCATGTAAATTATACCCAATATTAAAACCTAATTTAAGAAAAAATCAGGCTGGGCGTAGTGGCTCATGCCTGTAATCCCAACACTTTGGGAGGCGGAGGCAGGCTTATCCTCTGAGGTTGGGAGTTTGAGATCAGTCTGACCAACATGGAGAGACCCCATCTCTACTAAAAATATGAAATTAGCCGGGCATGGTGGCGCGTGCCTATAATCCCAGCTACGCGGAAGGCTGAGGCAGGAGAATCACTCGAATCTGGGAGGTGGAGGTTGCGGTAAGTTGAGATCACACCATTGCACTTCAGCCTAGACAACAAGAGTGAAACTCAAAAAATAAATAAATAAATAAATAAATAAGCTTTGGAGAAAGACTTCCTGAGTTCTAATCCTGACTTTACCATGTATAACTATGAATTTGAGCAGATTCTGAACCTCTGTATATATCAGTTTATTAATCTATAAAATGAAAATGATAATAGTTTCTCTCTCATGGGGTCATGAGAATTAGCATGAGTAATGCTTATAAAGGGTTTAGAATAAGATGTGGCACACAGTATAAGCTCGGTAACTGTTGGCTATTCCATTTTTACCACTATTTGAAAGAATAAAGTATCTAGCTTAAACTGGTAGTTTTCAATAGCAAGGGCAGACCTTAAACCTAAAACTTTGGATTCCATGCTGACAGCACATCTAATTCAGCAATTTTGAGAATAAATAGATGATACTTATGATAGATTATTAAAAATCAGTGATAATCCAACAGGAAACTTGAAATACAGTAGTCAAGACCTTATTTTTTGAAGGAGAGATTAGCCTGACATATATAATCTGGATGAGTGGAGGGCACAGGATAGACTTGGGCAAGCCCTCCATGGCAGGGAGCTGGTGTCCTCCTGCCTTCTGTGATTTCTATTCAATCTTCCTGCTCCTCCTTAATGCTAGCTGAGTCCACTTTGGGAAAAAGCCTCATGCACCAGTCAGGACAGGCAGCTTCCCTGAGCCCCAGCTGAGTGCTCGGCTTCTAGACAGAAATGATAATGGGCGTGTCTCAGGATACAAACCTCAACCAAATGGGTCTCAGCCATGAATCAGATTCCACTCAGGATGGAAAGATTCCACCCTTTCTTGGCTGCCAAGAAAGACAGCTAGTACCATACTTCATCAATTCTAACAGATACGTTTTAATCTTTAAAACTGGGATGTATCTTTACTCAATGCATGTCATTGTTAAATTGGAAATTTTTTCCCTTAATGATGTATAAAATAATGTTGCACCTCAGAACTGAGGCATCTTAGAGTCTATGAAATACAACTGCTAACACAGTCCTGGGAACCAGACCCTACCCATCCTTAGACCCTCAATCATTTTCATAATTAATCTTTTCCCTTCCCGCTAAAATATAAGTTCCACGAAGACAGAATCTTTATATGTGGGACTTTGGGCAAATTACTGAACTTTTATGAGCCTCAGTTTTCTCATTTGTAAAATAAGCATAACAGTACCTGCTTCACAGTACTGTGAGAATAAGGGAGACAATGGAGGTAAACTGAATAGCACAGGCCCTGTCAATGAGATGTGTTCAACTAATGCTACAAAATGAGGCCCAGTTCAGATGACCGACCCCTCCCTTCAGGGCCTGCAAGCTGAGGGAGTCCCAAGAGGCCAGCCTGGGCAGTCCCTGTGACCCACTGTTGACTCTGACCTACATGTTCTTCTATTTGGTTCTGTTAATTCAATAAATCATAATCCGAGGGGTAACAGAGGCTTTGAAGCCCCCGTCAGTGTTGTGTTTACACACAACACACAGCTCACCTCAGTGACCTCTCCAAGTCCATGAGAGCTTGCTGAAAAATCAGCCAGAGAATCTGTGACAAACTACTTCATGTAGCAATGATGACCAAGCAGACAGCTTCTGCCAGCTGCCCCTCACCCCATACCCTCGCTAGCCCCATCGCCTCTCTCCCGAAGAGTAAACAGAGCTTGAGTGCTTCTAGTGCAGAGGAGCCTGGGTGTTCCTCTAGTCAGCAGAGGACAGGAAGACCTCGCTGACACTCTGACTGAGACCCAGATTCGAGACACGCTGGTAGCGGGGCCTCATATTCTGGGAAATAGACTGTAACCTGGTCATTTTTCACTATCTAACTTCGCCAGTATCTTTAGGGAGACGTCTTCACCCTCCCAAATCATGGAACAGTCTGTGGTCACCATCCAAAGTGCTCAGCCTTGTTCAATGAGTCATAAGGGGCAGTACTTGAGCTATGCAAACTATTCTACTCTCAACCAGA